TGTCCTATCGTCCGACCTTGTATGCTGGATTGCACTATTTCACTATATTAAGGGGAGAGGGTGCCTTCACACACATATTCGGTGTGAAATATCTTCCGCCCCCCAGCGGAGCGCTTCGGCGCCTCTGCGAAGCAAAGCGCGGCATTCAAAAACAACAAACAAAATTGCCGTCGCTTCCCTGCCCTGCAATGGCTGGAGCAGAAGGAGAGAGAGAGAGATTTTAGTCTCATTGGATCAGAGGAATGGCAGTGGAGCGGGCTTATGGCGAGTAGGCTCGCGCTCTATCAATTACACTTGCCAGGTCTCTCTTCCGTTTGGACATTATTTACTCCGTCTCTCTCTCTCTCTCTCTCGGCGCACACGTCGCCACCCTACTAGTTTCCGTCACAGCATTTGCTGCGGCCTTTCAGTCCGGAACGGGGCTCCCCTTCGCCTTGCTGTCTGCCCAACTTAGCGGACTTGCGTTGGCTGATCACCCCGTCTTCGCGTCTGTGCCGGCCTTCAATGCAGCGCCCAACCGTCTCTTGACCGAGATTCATTGCACTATTCCACGCGCAAACGGCTACCCTAAATGTGCATAGACAACGCTCATGGTTCAACACGACCAGGGCGCAGTCTGGGAGCCGAGTATACTAAAAAGAGAGTTTAGCAGCCAAAACTCGTCAAAGAACACGTTGGGTTACCCCATCACCTAACAACGATGATGGCGGTTCCCACCCGTGAAATACACAACCTAACCAATATTGGGCGACGATGGCGCTCATGAGCCCACGTCCCCACAAACAGTAAGAGAAAGAGAGAGAGGAGGAGATGGGCCAATGTCTTATGCCTCGCTGGGGCAAAGAGAAGAGAAGAGGAGCGGATAAGGGAGGAGATTGGCCAACGTGCGGTCCCTCGCCCAATGTCGGCTGCCTCGCTGGAGCTGGGTAAAGAGGAGAGGAGCGGATAAGGGAGGAGATTGGCACACACGGTGGCGCTGCCGGCGCCGAGGATAGCGAGAGAAGGTGCAGTTTGAGCGGATCATCTGGTTTGCTATTTCTCTAAGGCCAACGTGCGGTCCCTCGCCCAATGTCGGCTGCCTCGCTGGGGCAAAGAGAAGAGGAGAGGATAAGGGAGGAGATTGGCACACACGGTGGCGCTGCCGGCGCCGAGGATAGCGAGAGAAGGTGCAGTTTGATCTGATCATCTGGTTTGCTATTTCTCTAAGGCCAACGTGCGGTCCCTCGCCCAATGTCTTCTGCCTCGCTGGGGCAAAGAGAAGAGGAGCGGATAAGGGAGGAGATTCGCTAACGTGCGGTCCCTCGCCCAATGTCGGCTGCCTCGCTGGAGCTGGGGCAAAGAGGAGCGGATAAGGGAGGAGATTGGCACACACGGTGGCGCTGCCGGCGCCGAGGATAGCAAGAGAAGGTGCAGTTAGATCTGATCATCTGGTTTGCTATTTCTCTAAGGCCAACGTGCGGTCCCTCGCCCAATGTCTTCTGCCTCTCTCTCAATCTCACTATTTTGGCCGCCGTGACAGGCGCCGCCAACAGCAGCAGCTACCTGGTTGATCCTGCCAGTAGTCATATGCTTGTCTCAAAGATTAAGCCATGCATGTGTAAGTACAAGCCGATTTAAGGCGAAACCGCGAATGGCTCATTAAATCAGCTATGTTTCATTGGATCTGTAAACCCACTTACTTGGATAACTGTGGCAATTCTAGAGCTAATACATGCAATTGGTCTCTGACCGCAAGGGAAGAGCGCTTTTATTAGTTCAAAACTGGTCGGGCCCTGGTCCGTAACCCACCTGTGGTGAATCTGAATAACTTCGGGCTGAGCGCACGGTCTCCGCACCGGCGCCGCTTCTTTCAAGTGTCTGCCTTATCAGCTTTCGATTGTAGGTTATGCGCCTACAATGGCTATAACGGGTAACGGGGAATCAGGGTTCGATTCCAGAGAGGGAGCCTGAGAAACGGCTACTACATCTAAGGAAGGCAGCAGGCACGCAAATTACCCACTCCCGGCACGGGGAGGTAGTGACGATAAATAACGATGTGAGTCTCATCCGAGGCCTCGCATCCGAATGAGTACACTTTAAATCTCTTTAACGAGTAACCATTGAGGGCAAGTCTGGAGTTGTTTTGCAATTCCAGCTCCAATACGAGTACAGTTGTTATGCGTTAAAAAGCTCAGAAGCTGATCTCGTTCCGACTGATTGCACCGCTCGCGTTTACTGTCACGCCCGAACAGCCGCCTGCCGTCGCACGGATGTTTTTGTCGAGTGTCCTGGCATGGAGAGTTTACTTTGAAAAATTAGAGGCCCAGGAGCAGGCTATTTGAATGGCCCGAATGGTGATGCATGGAATAATGGAATGAGACTGGTCTCTATTCTGGTTACTTTTTTGAAACCAGAGGTAATGACTAATCGGAACAGGCGGGGCATTCAGATATGACGCTGGAGGTGAAAATTGACCGTCAAGACGGTTCCTACTGCGAAAGCATTTGCCAAGGATAAGTTTTCATTAATCAAGAACGAAAGTTAGAGGTTCGGCGATCAGATACCGCCCTAGTTCTAACCATAAACGATGCTAACTAGCGATCCGCCGGCGTTATTCCCATGACCCGGCGGGCAGCTTCCGGGAAACCAAAGTCTTTGGGTTCCGGGGGAAGTATGGTTGCAAAGCTGAAACTTAAAGGAATTGACGGAAGGGCACCACCAGGAGTGGAGCCTGCGGCTTAATTTGACTCAACACGGGAAACCTCACCAGGCCCAGACACCGGAAGGATTGACAGATTGAGAGCTCTTTCTCGATTCGGTGGGTGGTGGTGCATGGCCGTTCTTAGTTGGTGGAGCGATTTGTCTGGTTAATTCCGATAACGAACGAGACTCTGGCCTACTAAGTAGTCGACGGATCTCCAGAAAATGGTGTCCAGTTCGCACCTTCTTCTTAGAGGATATGGCAATTTTACCAGATTGCTTAAATAACAGGTCTGTGATGCCTTCTTAGATGTTCTGGGCCGACGCCGCCACACTGAAGGGGATCAACGAGTTTTCCCTCCAGTGAAAGCGGCAACCCGTTCAAAGCCTTTCTTGATAGGGATTAGCTTTGCAATTGTTTCCCATGAACGAGGAATTCCCAGTAAGTGCAAGTCATCAGCTTGCGCTGACTACGTCCCTGCCCTTTGTACACACCGCCCGTCGCTACTACCGATTGAATGATTTAGTGAGGCCTTCGGACTGGCGCTCTTGGATTGTCGGCCCCGTTGCCCGCGAGGGTTTTCTGGGGTCGTCGCCACGAGCTGACGGAAAGATGTCCAAACTTGATCATTTAGAGGAAGTAAAAGTCGTAACAAGGTTTCCGTAGGTGAACCTGCGGAAGGATCATTAACAGAGAGAAAGAGAACGGGGCGCTCTTAAAACTACTACTACTCTCCTGATTTGGGCGGTCTCGGGCTCTGCTCTGGCAACTCCAGCAGCGAAAGAGGACAATCCCGGCCCCCGCACCAAAAATAGGTACCACCACGCTGTAGGTGGACCACACTCGGGCGAGAGCGCGAAGACTGGAGGAGGAGGACGACGGGCTTGACGGCTGTCCATCTTCAGCCATCAAGGAATGCTCTTGACCCAAAAAGAGGAAATTCAGCGGTCAAAACAACAAGTCATTCAACAAACCCAAACCACAAATCCTGGGCTATAGTCTGTCAAACCCTTTTCTAATGAGACCACCCAGATAGGTCGCAAAGACCAAATGGCAAATACACAACTTTAATCGGGGATCACCGGCTCAGGTCATTTAGCTATTCCAAACCGCGGTCGGGTATGTGAATCGCAAGAATACCAGGATATGGATCACAAGTTGAACGAAGATATTGGCGCGGCGGCAGCCATATGAGCTTGTCGCCACCTCTACGCAGGGTCGGAAATATACA